GGCTGAAAAAAAAAAAAAAAAAAAGGCCCCATGGTTGGGCCATGGCCGAGATGTCTCTGCCACACCCCAAATTGGGCCATGGCCGAGATGTCTCGGCCACACCCCAAATTGGTCACGACCGATTTGGGGTGTGGCTGGACGTATTTAAGGTTGGGCATGCCTGAGAGAGTAAGGGGCAAAATTGGTTTTACAGGTGTGGATGATGTTGCTTGTTGAGCTTGAGTCTCGGATCGGCGAGGACTTGGGCAACCTGAGACAGCAGGGATTAACTGTCTTTGGTGGATTAACTGGGGGTTGTCTTCAGTGAACAACGGGGGCCTGACAGGAGATAACTCAATGTTTGGATCTTGGAAAACCTGAGTTCGATTCGGGTTTCGTACCTGGTACCTCTGTTTACCGGTTGGACTGGGTGTCCCGGTTTAGGCTGGAACGTTCTAGATGTTTCTAGGGGTAACTGGTCTAGTACCTAGGTACCTAGCGCTTGAGTGACTTTTTTGTTTAAATAGTGAAGTCGATACGTCATTTGCACTCGAAGCGTGACGACCCCTGATGAGTCCGGCCCGGCTCAGGACGAAACATGTCGGGTCATTGCCAGGAATCTAGGATGTTCAGCCACTAACGATTATACGGGCATGTCGCCTAGTTTTGGGTTGAACTTGATAGGTGTTTCATTATTTATCTTAAACCTATTAGTTGCGTTCGGGAATTCTGACGTGTCGACGTTGGTCTCTTTCTTTTTCCTTCTTTTCTCTTCTTCCCCTCCTCTGTTTCGACTGCCTACATGTCTGTCGTCATGCTTGTTTGGAAATTAATTCCTTAGGCCGTCACTTGCTGGGTTATGTCGTAACTTGTGATGTTGTGTTCCGACACCATCATTACGATTGGAACTGCCGTAGGAATTGTACTACGGGCGCGGGACTCGTTGCTTGTTATGTATTTTGACCTTGCCTTGTGTGTGTTTTTTACGATGGCTGGTGTGTCTGCTAATAATGAGTGTTATGAGTGTGGAGCAATGAATCACTGGGTACGCGATTGCCCAGTTCGGAATTCTCGATTTTGACCGCTGGCTACAGGCGCCAACGCGGTGCCTACGGGTGCACCTCTGTTGACTTTACCCGCCTCTAATGGGCCATCTTCTTTCGGGTCGTCTTCCTCTGCTGCCATTACTAACTCCCATCCTCCATTGTCTAACCTTCAAACCTCTCATGGTACGGGGTCAAATCATGGCTATCATGAGAGACCTAATTGGTGGACACGAAATCAGGAGCGATTGGACAAGGTTTACAACAAGTACATCGAAGATACCGAGAAGGAGGCCAAGAAGAAAGAAGAGGAGGAGAAGGAGAGAATTCGAAGGGAAGAGGAAGCGAAGCAGATTAAGTGGAAACAGGACCGTGAGCAGTTTGAAGCTGAAATAGGCGCACACTTGGATAGAAGGTTTGAGGCGCTAGGTGCAAAATGGACGGGGAAGGCTGTTGGCAGTGGTGGGAGCGATAATATTGGTGACGAGCTGGCTAAACTCCGATCGAAAAACGAGGAGCTCAAGAGAAGGCTGGGAGAACAAACTATCCCAGTGGGCAAAGATAAAATTTTATATCTGCAAAGAGAGATCCTGGAACTCCGGAAACAGGTGACGGGGAAACACTCCGATGAAGAGGCCATACTTGCGTTGCAAACGGAGATCGGTGAGCTGAAACAGTCGGTATAGGTTAAGACAAACTTCGAAATGGAAATTGCGGGTCTTCGGAAGGAGATTGGTCTACTTCGTGAGCAAAATGAACGTATCATTGTGGAGTCTAATTTGTGGAAGGAGGAGGCAGCGCGGCCGGGTAACAAACGTGGTAGCGTCGTGATTGGGACACCTGATGGAACCAATCGGGGTACTCCCAAACCTCGGTGTACAGGCAGTGTTCGAGACGGCGAGACAGGCGATCGTTGGAAAGAGGAGTATCGTAATCTAAGGAGTTTGCATCGGCTTGCCAACATCGAGGCGGAGGCGCTAAAAGAGAAACGTGCTGAAGCAGAACGTAAACGAATGGAAGCAGAGAAACAAGTCAAAGCGCTCGAAGAACAGATGAGTAAGCTTACTGCGGAATGTGGCAATGCGAAAACTGTGGGAGGGACCAATCTAAAAGAACGAATGGAGGAAGTGGCCGTCAGATCAGTTCGGAAAGGGGTTAAAGCAACCCCGGGGCGTGCTGGTGGAAAATCGACGGTTACGGAAATCAACGATCATGGTGCTTACGTTAAAGAACAAAAAAAGAAGCTTCGGTTGTTATGAAAGGCGGGTTTGGAGCCCTTGTGAAAAGAAGAGGGGGTGAAACTCGGCAGATTTGAGGACACCGTCTGTGAGCTGGTAGAGGCACGGGCGAAAAGAATCTTCGGAGACGATGGGAACAAAGGTCACACATCTAAGGACAAGATATCTGTCCACGAGGTAAGTGAGGACACAAGCAAAGAGGGAGAAAGTCCTGAAGACGAGGATGATCGCTCTGTGGAACTATCGGGAGACTTCCCGAGCGCGGCTAAACTTTGGACCTTAGCTTTGAAGTGCAGGGACAAACGATGCGTACCTAATTCTCGTCCTTCGTTATTTAGTTCGCTGTCAACTTCCTTTCCTTTTCCGTCATCTCCATCTTCTTCTTCTTCTTTTTCTTCTTCTCCCACCGCTGCTTCTCACTATCTTCGGTATCGTCTGTTCAACTCGTTCTATCGATCTGTTGTCATTGGCCTCATACTTCGGGATTAGATTCCATGGGCAGTCAAGCTCAAAGACTACATGCTCAACATTGTCATTGATAATGTCGATCTGGAATTGTGTGAAGGACCGCTTGTTTACGTTCTGCTTTCCCCATGGTCTCGTCACATGTATGTAGGGTCTACAACTAGGTCTTTGCCTACCAGATGGAACGAGCATGTTTATCGCTCTTTGAGCAGGAAGGTTGTGGAAGAAGGAAAGCGTAATCATAGGCTGTACTCGTGGTTAAGACGGTGTGACATCGGTTTGTATGTCGCCATCCCGTTGTTTCAATGCCAACTATCGGAGGTTCGGTGTTTGGAGAAATTTGTGATTGGGTTTCTTAGTCCACATTTGAATAGTCGGGATAAGAAACAAAATGGTAAGCGAAGGAGGCCGGGCAAGAGAGAGAGACGACGTAGGAATCGTGGTTCAGGAATATGTAATCCACGTCCTTCCTCTTCATGCCATCTTGTTTTTCATTTAACTGTTGGTGTGGTTTCTTCTCCTCTTTCCTCTATACTGGATTATTGTGTCAATCATCATATCTCGACTGTTGGAATCGCCTGCACCGAGGGAGATAGGTTCGCGGAGAACTGAAAGCTAATTAAGAGAAAATTCGGTTCCTCGGTTATTCGCAATACGGATACTGTGGAGATTCTGAAGAAAGGAAAGGGGCTGTTTGGACCAGGCAAGTTTGTCTTGTTCTCTGTTATCGTACCGTTTTCTGCAAGGTCGATTGTTCTGAAACCTGTTCTGGGGAAGCTTTTGTCCGATCCTTCTTCAAGGCGGGAATAAGCGAATTGGGATTTTTCGTTGTTGGTTCGGGCCTTCTCTGCGATTCGATGCTTCTCTGAAAAAAGGAGCAGGTATCTTTTGCGAGTAATTCTTTCTGGGATCATTAAGAGAAGGTTCGGTTGCAATGTTCGGATTCGACTTACTGTTAGAATTACGTATGACGAGATTTTGAGTAAGCCTGATATTCGCTCAGTATGTTCCTCGGCTATCATGAAATCGGACGTGGACAAAGAATGGAAGAGGATGGTGATACAACGAATGAGAATAGTCTGGTTAAAAAACAGGAGTGTGGGTAATTTTCTGTTTAACTTTCGGGATGCAGCCCGAGAGGAAGAGTCTCGATATGTCTGTAACGAGCTATCGGGGGATTTTCCGAGGCAAAACGGTCATGTGAATTTTCGCTTGAACGAGTGGGAAGAAGTCCCGGACTGGTTAAGGAATAATCGCAATATTGTCCGCCCCGCTAAGACTGATGTGCTTGGTAGGCTCCGTCGACAAATCTCCAATTCTCTTCTTGCCCTTGACTTTCATGTACCTCCTATTAATCGCGGGGATCTTTCTAATTGTGTTACAGGGGCCGTTAGTTCGCCTTTCGTGTGTACAGAGGAAAACATTCTAGCGTGGGTAGATAAGCTTCATGGCCTGGTGCGGGTCCCAATTGACCACAACCCGGGAGACACATTGGTGTGCTGCCCGTTAACGTACCAGGAAGGTATGAACAAACTTTTTTGTGACAATAAAGGGCTGGTAAAGATGGAGGAATCAGAGGACGAGCTGCTAAAAAGAGCTAAGGAGGAGTATGGGCTGGCTGGTTTGCAGAAATTAGCCGTGTGGGATAAGAAGGGCATGTTGGGGCAATCTTATGTCATCCCCAAGCATAAGGACGTGACCAAATGGCGGCCTATATGTCCTTCATTTTTCGAAAGTAATGTGCGGAGGTGTCGTAAGATTTCTAGATCTGTCAATGCATTGATATGGGGACTACCAAAAGGGACGCACTTCAACCTCAAGAGTATTGATCTGCTGGTCAATCAGTTGCAAGATATTAATAAGGCGGTGAGGAAGGATGAATGTCTGTTGACCGGGTCGTTCGATGTGAAGGATATGTTCTGCAATCTTCCTCACGAGTCTATTCTGAACGCAATGGACTGGATCCTTGATTTCTGGGATGAGAAAGAAGTGAACGGCGTGCTTTTAAAAAAGAAGGGCAAGGAAGCAAAACTCTTGAAGGGCAAAAGGCAGGAGGGTTGGGAGTTCGTTGGATTTGAAAGCATTCAGGCTTTTGTGGGTTTTGATTTGAAGCATACTTTTGTGCGAGCTAAGGGGATGATTCTTCAACAATCTGTGGGCATTCCTATGGGAAAACCATCGAGTCCCACTATTGTCTGTCTGCTCTGTATCTATTCTGAGTTCTCCTTTCTTTCGTCGCTTGGAAAGGATCGTTCGTTAATACGGGGAATTCGATTGATGGACGATGTTTCAATTTTTGTGAGGTATCGACTTGATGACGAGCAGTCATTAAGAAAGGCGGAAGGGATTGTCGCGAGTTTTGAGAACTGTTATGATTCAAATCTGGTCCTGGAATGTATTAGTAGGGAAGATTCCTGAAACTTTCTTGGTTGTACTATTACGAATTTTGGGTGGCCGATGGGTGTGAGATGTGAGGCCAGGTTAAAGAATCAGGATAATATTTTGAAGCAGGGGTTGAGCTTTCAAAGTCTACAGGACCATTGTTCTTACGTGAGTAAGAAACAAAAAATGGCAGTGGTGGGATCCTTCTTGCACCGGGCAAAAAAGTTTACTACTACGCCTGCGGCTGAGGTTGCTTTCCTATTTGCATTGAAAGTGGAATTGCGACTGCGGGGGTCCCCAGACGAGATCTTTGATAAGTCGTTGTGTAACTTCTCTTCGAAGTTTGGAGGCTTGTGGAAGGAATGGGTGGATTGTTTGACAGGGTGGGACAGATGGTTCCTATCGCGATAAGGTAGCAGGAGTTTCTGTTTTTTTTTTGAAAAGAAGTTCCCGGACGTATTTAAGGTTGGGCATGCCTGAGAGAGTAAGGGGCAAAATTGGTTTTACAGGTGTGGATGATGTTGTTTGTTGAGCTTGAGTCTCGGATCGGCGAGGACTTGGGCAACCTGAGACAACAGGGATTGACTGTCTTTTGGTGGATTAACCGGGGGCAATTGTTTTCAGTGAACAACGAGGGTCTGACAGGAGATAACTCAATGTTGGATCTTGGAAAACCTGAGTTCGATTCGGGTTTCGTACCTGGTACCTCTGTTTACCGGTTGGACTGGGTGTCCCGGTTTAGGCTGGAACGTTCTAGATGTTTCTAGGGGTAACTGGTCTAGTACCTAGGTACCTAGCGCTATGAGTGACTTTTTTTTTTAAATAGTGAAGTCAATACGTCATTTGCACTCGAAGTGTGACGACCCCTGATGAGTCCGGCCCGGCTCCGGACGAAACATGTCGGGTCATTGTCGGGATGTTCAGCCACTAACGATTATACGGGCATGTCGCCTAGTTTTGGGTTGAACTTGATAGGTGTTTCATTATTAATCTTAAACCTATCGGTTGCGTTCGGGAATTCTGACGTGTCGGCTTTGGTCTCTTTCTTTTTCCTTCTTTTCTCTTCTTCCCCCCCTCTGTTTCGGCTGCCTACATGTCTGTCGTCGTGCTTGTTTGGAAATTAGGCCCTTAGGCCGTCACTTGCTGGGTTATGTCGTAACTTGTGATGTTGTGTTCCGACACGGCCGACATGTCTCGGCCACACCCCAGATTGGCCACGGCCGCGGAAAAAAAAAAAAGAAAAAAAAGAAAAAAAAAAAAAAAAAAGGAAAGTGTGCTACAACCGCCCTTTTCAAACTCGGGGCCTGATGTTACCGCCTTCTGATGTTATGACTGCCTTTTCAAACTGCGGCCATTTTTTCGTTGCCCATTAGTGTTTTTTTTGTCCTTTTGAACTTCGTTTGTGACACAAACGTACTTGCCCCAAAGAAATTTCTGCTTTTCGTTTATTTATTTTTATTTTTTTCTTTGTTTTCCATTTTTTACAAATCATAAATTAAGTCAAATTCAAAAAAATAAAAATATCGTCACAAATAGAACTGCCCGGTAAACCGTAGGCAGAGAGAGAGAAGAGGACAACAAACGAGGGGCTGTGACAAACTGTATATATATATATATCGTCACAAACAAAATATATATATATATACCTATTTTTCGACCCCCAAAAAAATATCCGAAAAAACAGGCCGCAAACTAGGCCTGGTGGCCGTGGCTGCGGCCGACTTTTTCGGCCGCGGCGCCCGAATTGCCCGCGGCCTAGGCCGAGGGTGTCACATAGCTCCATTGTCTCTACAAAAATTCAAAAGTCTCAACAGACTGCTCGAGACTACACCCAAAGAGGAATGAAAGGTTAGTAAAGATTTCCTCAAACACACATTTGGACAAATAACCCGTGCATCTTTCTGCTTTTTCCACACCCTGAGTCTCTCTTTCTTTCCCGACCTGCGGCACCTACTTCTTCGTGGTTTATCACGACTATTCAAAGATAGAGAAAAGCGCCAAATGAAAAAACATTCTACAGATAAAAGATCTTTAGTCGAACAGCCCCGTATCGAAATAGCAACATACTAATGAACCCTACATCTTCATAACCAATGATAAAGATTTTAATTCCGTCTGTTGCCTTGGATTAGTTCCTGACTGCATGACCGATACACATGTTCTCCCCAACGGACTCACAAGTCATGACACATACTGCTGATGTAAACATAGCGACACCAAGGCGATATCAGTGCATACACCACTGGCCCTCGAGCATCATCCAGCGACCCAACATCGTTCCATCTCTCAGAAATATACAGGATCAGTTTTGAAGTCCAGGGAATAAGACCATAAAGGATATGAATAGTTACAACAGTTTGAAACAAGGCATCAAGCCGCGTATCCCAAAGATATTGAGAAGAAAGAGATCTTAATTTAGACTAGGATTGTGCAACAAACCAAAGACTAGCCGCGTTTGGGAGGGATCCTAAGAAGTATCGGAATCCCTCCAATCATTCGTGTCTTGATCCTCCGTTCGGTCGCCAACCAGGTCATCGGAAACTTCCACGTGGACAGCCTTACCCTATGGATTTCCAAAAGCAAGCTCAACATGTTTCGCAATAACATCATCGATTGTCTGCTGCAGAGTGGTGTACTTCACCCCTTCTTTCACGCAAATTTCCATCACGTCGTCTTTTTTTAGATTACGAAATTCACGCTTTGCTTCTTTGGTAAATCCTTCCCGATCGCTCTCCTTAGCACCTTTCGGCCCTGTTGTAGCTTTCTTATTTCCTCTCCCTATCTTTAACACAAAACAGCCACCAGCTTCTTCCATTCTCTCTCTCAGATTAGAGCGAGGAGTCTGACAAGTTTTCTTTGCCTCCATACGTGTGATAACTTCTTTGGCTTTTTCAAGCTCTTGCTCTACCTCCCTACGCCGATTCAGCTCCTGTAGACGCAGCTCCGTGAGAAATAAAACCTCCAATCTATGCAACTGTGCCAACTCCGTTGGATCTCCCGCTGGTCTTGCCACAAACTTCACCGAAGTGGTTAGCGAATGACTCTTCAGCTTCGAGTCCGGCGTCATTGCAATACAACTTCGTTTGTTGGCTGGACGCAACACCTCTTTCTTCCACACCTCAACCTCTTGCAAAGCTTCCTCACGCAATTGCTTAAGCGATCTGATCTCCTCTTCCAATGTTTGAACTCGTCTCGACGTACCAGCTGCCCGTTCCACTTTCACTTTCATTTATTTGTGCTCCTGCATCATACGTGCGATCAACTTCTCATTCCCGGTGGAGCGACCACCACATTTGTTGACGGCAGCACACAAACTGCTTGTTTCCAATTAGAGCTTCTTAATTTCCTTCTTCAAGGACGCCACATCTTCATTAGCATCCGCAGCCTTCTTTCCTGCCATCGCCTCATACACACGATCTATCTTAGCATTCAAAGTAGCACTTAACTCAACTTGGACATCCTCTCGTTCTTTCTTGTCTTTGGCTCTTCGCTCTTCTTCTCGTTCTCGCTTTGTGCGTTCCTCTTCGGCTTTCTTAGCATTCAACTTGGCCATCTCTGCTTCATACCACCGTTTCATCTGTGAAACTGTATCCTCAAGCACAACAACTCTCTGATTAGTATTAAACCAGCCGTTACCTCTACCGTATTGATTGTTACTACCCACGACAGTAGAAGTCGTCAGAGTCCCAACGTGCAGGGGGGAAGGAGGAGGAGGTGGCGGAGGTAAAGCAGGCGCAGGTAGGGCAAGAATCGGTGCTTGAGCAGGAACGATAGTTGAAGTGTTAGAGTTGGGATTCTGGCGATGTGGACACCAACGTGCAAAGTGGTTAGGATCTCCACAGTTGAAGCAGGTTCTAACAGACGACGAAGGGTTGGCCATAACTGGTGAATTACAACGGGTGAAAATTTGGACAGGGCTTCATATCTTGTCCATCTGTTAATTGTTGGTCGTGTTTCTAGTAGCCCCTTGTTGTTTTGGGCTTTCGAACCCATGGTATCAGATAATTGTGGCCCCAATTTGTGGGAACCTACCAGAGCTTTCTGTAATACGGTGACCGATGTGATTTCGAGATATCGCTGCCCCCAACGACCACAGGCCTTGCCGCGGACGGTCTAGGGGGGACCCTAAGTGTTTTTCGTAGGAACTTCGTGATGTCGATGCCTGACCACGGGTAGTATAAGTAGATTGTTGACGATATTCTCAACCTTCTGGGTTGGCCAACGGACGCTAGTCCGACGGCGGGTTTGACGGAAAGGAGGCGGATCATTGGGTTGGAAGGTTTGATCGGATGTGGTTTACTTCTTTCTATTATCATCATCAATCTCGCCTANCGGCGGGTTTGACGGAAAGGAGGCGGATCATTGGGTTGGAAGGTTTGATCGGATGTGGTTTACTTCTTTCTATTATCATCATCAATCTCGCCTACGGGCTTTCCTCGCCTACGGGTTTTCTTACTACTCAGTGATTGTGTACATCACTCTGTGTGCATCTTCTCACTTTCGCTGGATTGCGCGTGTGAACTTACCCGGGGATCAACTTACTGGGCCGAGTGAGCATGTTAGAGCGTTCTATGTCCTTACTTTTTCACTTACTTTTCACTTGTAGTATCCTCGGTAACTGACGTGTTGTTGTTGCCAGTCGCGGGGGAGACTCTTCTTCCTCGCATGACGAGGGACTTAGCGCGGCACGATGTCTTCACAAGGCCATTATGACCGGAATGAACGTGACCGGGAGCGCAATGAGTGGGACCGCGGGAGAAGGGATCGCGATTCTACTGACGAGCATGGAGAACGAAGACCGTACCGGCCTCCAACATGCTTTGCATGTCACGAAGTGGGACACTATGCCAATCAGTGTCCGAACAGGAGCAAACGTTACTCCAACGTGAGACCATCAACTTCGTTGGAATCGCGGCGAGCCAGGTCCCCTAGGAGGTACGAACCAAGGTCGCGCGAACCATCTCCTACTTTGGATCCGCAAATCAGGAGCACCATCGAGAAGCTCGGCAAGAGTGTAGCTATTATGGAGGAGCACTACGCCACGGAGCGCGAAAAACGAGAGCAGAAAGCACGTAAGAAGTTGGAGAAGGAAGAGGCTCAACGACGTGAGGCGGAGGAAGCAACTCTTTTGGAGGAGGAACACATCACCGCGGAAAAGAAAGCTAGGAGACGGAAGCAGAAATTGATGTTGGAGGATCAGCGACGTGCGGAGATGCAAAAGGATCTACAGATCCAGCTTGCGATGCATGTAGGCGACTTGGAGGATCGCCTTATTCAACGACTGAATCAAGCTGTGGGAGGGCCGTCGAAGCAGTATCGGGGCAAGAAGAAGGTGTCATACCGTTCGGATGTTGACGAGTCTACCTCTAGCCAAGGGGATGCGAGTGATATAAGTGTTACACAGGAGCTCGGCGCCTGTGTTGATCGCCTGAAGATTTCGGAGAAGCGGAAACGTGGCCCCGAGCCCGTATTTGAAGACCCGAGTCCGCCAATGGAGCTGCCCGCCAAGCGTACCCCGAAGCGGGGTATCTTGAAGCCAGTCAAGTTGACTGGATGATTGACTCGTTCGAAGTCCAAGAAAGGTGGAGGAGGACTCACCCCCACATCAGCCTCTAAGAAGATTGCTACTCCTTTGTCCAAGCGGCGCACCCCGTCGAAGAAGAAGAACTCGAGTTTGACGCCGCTCTCGAAGGCTTCCCTGGAGCGCCTGCGATATCGGGACAACGTTCTTCGGGAGTTGAAGGACCTCGATGCCACGGAACTGCAACGGATTTGTTGAGAAGAGGACATCCATTACGATAAGAAGATTTAAGCAATCTTCGACATCGCGGATCACCGAACCGAGCAAGCCTTCGCCGGTGCACTGGCTAGAGTCGAACTCGAACGGATAGCGATCTCCGACGATACGAACGCCGAACAGGAGGATGCACCTACCATCGATGTGTGAACGCGGTTATCTATACCGCAACTCTGGAAGGTTTTTCGTTTTCTTTCTCATCTCCGATGTGAGTCCACGAAAGTAGACAAACGCGTTGAGAAAATACCGTCCCACCTTTCTTTTGCTTGCAGTCCAGAAGCAGATACGTTGGGCTAATAAATTCGTTGACTGTTGGTTGAATCTGTATGACCGCCATGGTTTGGATTTCTTGGATCTTTCAGATTGCGTGTATGTCGGAATCTCTCCTTTTTGTAAACTGTTCTATATTGGGAAATCCTCACGGGATGTGGATACACGATGGCGCGAGCATATGTACGCCTGTCGTAATCATAAACCCTCGCACTTTCACCGTTGGTTGGGTAATTTCGGTTCAGGTAATTACCTACTGATTCCTGTCGACATCCTCGTGGGAAATGAGTTGGAGAAGTTGGAGCGCACGTATATTAAACTCTGGTCCCCATTCCTTAACACTCGCGGGTGCGCAAAGACGGGCACTAAGCTTAGTCGTAGTAAGGCTGGTAAGCACGAGCGTGCACGGGAAAGGACTACCAACTCCAACTGTGACTCTTGGACACCTGTTCGTTTCCGCATAACAACCGCCTCTGAATGGATGGTGGATTTCTTCGCCTTATTTGATAATATTTTACTATCAGGTAATACCACAGTCGACCTTTGTATCCAGCCAGGTAATATCTGGCAGCCCTGCTGGGGTAAGCTTGTCAAAGCTTTTGGTGAAACTAAGATTATACATGCTTCTGGAACTTTCTGTTTGAGGGAATGTAAATCACTGTTGCAATCGGGAGGTAGTTTTTCTGTTCTACATGTTTGCAAATGGTCAGCGCGTTGTGGTTATCTCAAAAAGACCTTAATCGGTATCCTCTGAAATCCTCGACAGATGTCTGTATTGTGTAACTGGGGCATGCGATCCTTTTTACGCATATACCGAGTGGTGAAGGATTTTTCGAGGAAATCAACTCCTAAGTATCTTCGTAGACTTTTGTCACGCTGCTTTAGTGATCATTTCGGCCTGAGTCTCAATGCTGATTTGGTTTTTCGTATTCGTTTTGATGACCATATTATCATTTCTGAGATACAAAAAGTCGTTAACGATGCTATTATGTTACAAAACTTGCCGAAGTGTTTTTTGTACCAAGCACGGAGGAAGGTTCGGATAGTTGGGACAAAAAACCGATCTGTAACCGATTTATTGCACAACATGCGTAGTCTCTCGAGACGGAGTGTGCTGACTTGCACTTGCGCAGGTCATGACCTCCCACGCTTGGGAAATCATGTGTTGTTTCGGCTAAGCGACCTCAACGGGTTTCATCCCCTGTTGAGCAACGCTAACAACGTGCCTTGTGCACGTATTGACGATCGCGTACCCTCCTTTCGTGAGGAACTGCGCTCTGGTTTTGCCAATTGGTATAACTGCGTCGATGATCCGCCTTACTTCAGTAATGAAGTATTGTCAGCCTGTTTTTCCTCTGCGGCTAGCAACAAGCATTGTCTTTTCTTGCATGAAGTGCTTGAGATCAAGCACCGCTTTGAGGGATTGGTTCTTACTGCTGTGGACCGTAATGCTGGTGAAACAGTGGTTATGTGTCCTCTGATCTACTACCAAGCGTTGATGGATACCTATGTGCTGAACCCTGGTTATCGTATCATGAATTGCCAGGAGAGCCTTGTGCTCCGGGAATTTCGAGAGGATGTGACTTCGGTAGGCTTGAAATCCTTTGTTAGGTGGGACACTCAGGGGAAGTTTGGGGCAGCTTACATCTTGCCCAAACACAAGGATTTGAATCGCTATCGTCCTATTTGCCCCTCATTTAGTGAGCCTACGGCTAGTATGGGACGGGTCGTCTCTAAGGCCCTGAACTACTTGCTTAGCACGATTCCGAAGCACTGGCACTTTAACCTGTCAGTTGTGTCGGACTTGACAGCGAAGCTAAACTCAGCGAATTCGAAGTTCCTTCGTCTTGGAGGGAACTGTGTTGTTCGATCATACCCTTTCGATATCAAGGATATGTTCACAAAACTTCCGCACGCTGATATCCGCCGTGCTGTTGACTGGCTGATACAGTACCATCTGGACAGAGGCCATGTATTCGTCAGGGTCAATACGATGGGAAAAGGGGCGAGTTTCAGACTGACGACGGGAGGGGATCATTGGAGAAAACTTACCCTTGACAATATTCGTGCCTTCATCTTCCTTGAGTTGAATCACACCTACTTCCATGCTACGGGTGTTTTGTTGAAACAGGAGGTGGGAATACCCATGGGAAAGAGTACCAGCCCTCCCCTGGCATGCATCCTATGTGCCTTCTCTGAGTACAACTTTATTTGTGGTATTGGTAAGGCCGCTCGCTGTCTTTTTGCTACACGCCTGATGGACGATGTCTTGTTGGTTACGTCTACTCGCAAGGGAGATGATGCTCTATTGGAAGCTTTTTGGACCTGCTATCCGAGCGATCTACAACTCAAAAGAACGGATGATGGTACAGGGAATTTGGATTTTCTAGGTTGCCAAGTGCACGTCACACAGTCCTTTCCGTATATCGGCAGTATTCAGACTTCAAGGAATGACGCACGACTGTTGGAATCGGACCGCCTGGAATTCTTGAATGGTCAATCCTATTTCTCCAGGGGCTGTAAGCGACAAAAGAGTGTCATTATCAGCGGATACCTCCACAGGATCGATTAGAATACCTCTATTCGTCTGGCAATACCAGACAGAGTGCGCGCCTTGCGACGCAACATCTCTTTGAAGGACTTTCCTGATGTATTCTTCAAGCAGGTTCTCAAGCGCTTTGCATTTCGGCGAGAGTACATATGGAAGCAGACTGTCAAACTGTTGTATTGATGTAGGATATGACTGAATTAGAATAGTTCTGCTCACGTGTTTCCTTTCCTTTTTGTTTGATTTGGCTTTGTGTGGACAGGGAATCCGTTCGGATCAGTTGCTTTTTTGAAGCCCCTCCTCCGGATACCCTCGATTGGATTTGCTTTCAATTAGGAACCTTTGCGCATGTTGTTGTATGCATTTTCGTTTTTGTTTTTTGAAATTTGGACAGGGCTTCGTATCTTGTCAATCTGTTAATTGTTGGTCGTGTTTCGAGTAGCCCCTTGTTGTTTTGTGCTTTCGAACCCGCGGTATCAGATAATTGTGGCCCCAATTTGTGGGAACCTACCAGAGCTTTCTGTAATACGGTGACCGATGTGATTTCGAGATATCGCTGCCCCCGACGACCGCAGGCCTTGCCGCGGACGGTCGAGGGGGGACCCTAAGTGTTTTTCGTAGGAACTTCGTGATGCCGATGCCTGACCACGGGTAGTATAAGTAGATTGTTGACGATATTCTCAACCTTCTGGGTTGGCCAACGGACGCTAGTCCGGCGGCGGGTTTGACGGAAAGGAGGCGGATCATTGGGTTGGAAGGTTTGATCGGATGTGGTTTACTTCTTTCTATTATCATCATCAATCTCGCCTACGGGCTTTTCTCGCCTATGGGCTTTTTTACTACTCGTGATTGTGTACATCACTCTGTGTGCATCTTCCCACATCCGAATTACAACGCTGATAAAGAAGCCACACAAACACGTAGTATAACTCCTACGATGGTTACTTCGCGAAAGCGAGTAGTTGAAGAGTCAACAACCTTTTAAATCATTCATTAATCACGATCAGCACCCTACGACAATCATTAGGACCACGAGAACAAACTTAGTCAAACCATGCCAAAATCACGAACATCACTCATGACCGGAATACACCCAAATATGCCGAAGAAGATAGAGAAGACAGAGAAGAAGAAAAGAAAAACGCAACTTACGCAAGAAATGTGAAGTCCTTTTTTTTTTTTTTTTTTTTTTTTTTTTTTAACCCGGCGAATATGTAAAGTTTTCCCAAATGCGACATAAGAAGATATAAAGTGAAGTACAACAACTGGTGGCATGGGCCCGACTAGTTTCAGCTGGCCACTCCCAGCAGTCATCAAGGGCCTTTAATTGCAGTGGTAATTGAATAGGCGTTAATGCTCTTTATATATCCTGCGAAAATGCTATAGACCTACGTCACCCAGTACTGCATACAAAGCCCATAGTTAACCAGTTCAAAACCTTCAGCAACCATTCTTGGCCCTTCAAACAGAGGCCGGGGACCTCACAATTCGACCCGGAAAGATCTGGGGCTATTACCTAGATTAGGCTGGGATGGAAACCGGGTCCAGCATCCCTCCAATTCTACTCAAAATTTACCAATAAACACTACATTTCGGGCTAAGCTGGAAACCGGGTCCAGCGTCCCTTTGACCCAAACTTTCCAAAGACAAAAACATTCTATCTTGCCCAAGCGCCCTGTGAAGCCCGCCGTTCCCTTGAATCCATGCTTCCTGTTCCGTAGATCAAAATTTTACTGATTGCCTTGAGCTACCAAAATTGGATAAGCTTCGGGGCTGACTCCCCTTGATATACCACTTGTAGTGTAACTTGCCATGCACATCACATGATTATAACTACCATTGCGGCAGTTCCCGTTTACCATCAGCTGTGTCATCCTTCCATTAATGGATAAGCTTCGGGGCTGACTCCGCTTGATATACCCAAACTTTCAGACATTTTCGGAAAACAAAAAGAGAAAGGAAGGGATATGCCAGAACTGTTCCGATCAGTTTAGAATCTTTTTTTTTTTTTTTTTTTTTTGGAACCAAATGTGTCATCCTTCCA